TAGATCATTAATTTATAAATTTGATCAATGAACATAAATTGGTCTTACGGGTCTCACGAAAAACCCTTGGTCTCACGTGAACCCAACCATATATATATATATATATATATATATATATACATATATATATATATATACCCAATAAATAAGTAACTTTGGTGACATGTGTCATCTTATGGTGAGTTAGTTATCTTATTTTTCATTAGTGGTTCAATTAGACTCATTTGAACGTATCTAAACACAATTTACATTAGTGGTTCAATTAAACTCATTTGAACGTATCTAGACACAATTTAAACTAACAGTTCAATTATATTCATTTGATTGACATGTGTCCTCTTGTTCAATCAATCCTACTAATTTAGGATGCAATTGATTTTATTCTTTAGTTAATTAATTTGTGTGATAACTGAAACCCGAAAAAAAATGGTGTTTACTTCTAAGTTTAAATTCAATTTATCGATATAGTTTCATTTCTAAATTCAATTTTATTCTAGAGTTTACTTCATTTTATTCTAAATTCAATTTACTGAAAAGTTTTACTTCAAAGTTATTTCAAAAGAACAAGTCTAAAGTCATTCTTCAGAGTTAGTTAGCTCATCCGAACTCTGGAGTCTGAACTCTGAAGTCTTTTTTTATACTTAGAAAAAGAAGTTTAAAGTCTTCTTTTTCAAACTTAGAAGTCTGAACTCTGAAATCTTCTACAATTTTGAAGAGTACAAGTTTGAAAAATCATTTTTCAGAGTTAGCTCACCCGAATTCTGAAGTCTTTTTTTTCCAGACTTGCTCACCCGAACTCCAAAGTTTGAACTCTAAACTCTCTTTTTTCAGTCTTAGCTCACCCGAACTCCAAAGTCTGAACTCTGAACTCTTTTTTTTCAGACTTAGAAGTCTGAACTCTGATTTAATGGGATTGGCTTAATACTTCAGAGTTATTTCTAGAGTACAAGTCTGAAGAGTCATTCTTCAGAGTTAGTTCACCCGAACTCTGTAGTCTTCTTTTCCAAACGGACACCATGTAGAACCTCTGCATAGTGCATGCAAAGCTTCTGACTTGCCTATACAGAGCTTTGAAGTCTGAAAAGTTTTATTTCAAAGTAATTTCAAGAGTACAAGTTTTGTAATAAACTTATCTAGACTTTGAAGATAAGTTTTTAAGACTTAGACTTAATATTGTAAGCCAGAGCCCCTCTGGTTGGTCTGCCTTATGGATGTTTTTGCTTCTGGTTGTTTATTTGAATCTTGAAAAAATATTCCAATTCATCATAAAGGAACCAGAGGGGCTCTGGTTGTAATTGAGAATCAAATTCTTCAAGTATTTAAGATTTTTTGACCTAGAGGCTCTGGATAGACAAACCAGAGACTATGGTTGACCAGAGGGTCTTTGGTTGGCCTTTTTTTTGGTTGGTGAGTCCACATAGGCTCTGGTCCTTAAGAACCAGAGCAGCTCTGGTTGGTCTTGCTCTGTATGATGCAAACTTTACCATGAGGTCTTTTTCAAAGATATTGGGTATTTGAATAACTATGAACTCAAGGTCTTTAGATTTCATTTTCAGACTTGACACATGCGCTCTTCTAAGTTTAAATTCAATTTATTGATATAGTTTCATTTCTAAATTAAATGTTATTCTAGGGTTAACTTTATTTTAACTAATTATTGATATAATTTCGTTTCTAAATTCAAGTCTGAAGAGTTATTCTTCAGAGTTATACTTTAAAGTTATTTCAAGAGTAAAAGTATGAAGAGTCATTCTAAAGAGTTAACTCACCCGAACTCTGAAGTCTTCTTTTTCAGACTTAGAAGTCTGAACTCTGAATTCTCTTTTTAGACTTAGAAAAAAAAGTCTGAAGTCTTTTTTTTCAGACTTAAAAGTCTGAACTCTGAAGTTTTCTACAAGTCTGAAGAGTCATTCTTACAAGTTAGTTCACCCGAATTCTGAAGTTTGAACTATGAAGTCTTTTTTTAAGACTTAGAAGTCTAAACTCTGATTTAGTGTGAATGATTTTATACTTCAGAGTTATTTTAAGAGTACAAGTCTGAAGAGTCATTCTTCAGAGTTTTACTTCAAAGTTGTTCACATATTACACGTCTGAGGAGTCATATTTCAAAGTTAGCTCACCCAAATTCTGAAGTCTTCTTTTCTAGACGGAGCATCATGTAAAGCACCATACATAGTTTTTGCATAGTGAATGCAAAGCCTCTATATAGTGCATGCAGAGCTTCTGGCTTACCTATACAGAGTCTGAAGTTTGAAAAGTTTTATTTCATAGTTATTTCAAGAGCACAAGTTTAAAGTCATTCTTTAGATTTATTTCAAAAGTATAAGTTTGAAGAGTCATTCTAAATTTATTTCGAAGTTTAAATTCAATTTACTGACATAGTTTCATTTCTAAATTTAATTTAATTCTAGAGTTAACTTCATTTTAACTAATTATTGATATAGTTTCATTTCTAAATTCAAGTCTGAAGAGTTATACGTCAGAGTTATTTCAAGAATTCAAGTCTAAAGTAGCATCATACTTTTGATGATCATTAATATCTAAAAGATAAGTTTCTGATATGATTTAACTTTTTCAAATTACCTCGTGTAATACACGAGATTGAACCTAGTATATACAATATATGTATGTATATGTAATTTCAAGTAAAAAAGACTAAGATGACGTTTGTTTTTTAAGAGGTGCTGAAGTCTGAATCCACTTCTGATTTTTAAGAGATTGTGCTTAAGTCTGAAATCTGAATCAGTCAGACTGTTTGTTTTTTGCGTCTGAAATCTGAAGTTTGAAGATGAGAGATCGAGTGTTGATATGGATCAACAGTTGACAAAGTTGAGAGATGAGAGATCGAGACAGAAGAGTTGATCTAGAGAAATCGAATGCAAAGAGATCAGAGTAGGTAGGCGACGATTTAAAATAAAAGGTAATAAGAGGTTTCGCAACCACTTAAATTTTCAGACCTAATAAGAGCTTTTAAGCTCTTAATTGAAGAAAAAAAAAAAACACACTGAATCCTCTTATGTCTGACCGATTCAGACTTAAGAGGACATTAAAAACTTTTTTATTAAAAACATTAAGAGTTTTTTTATTAAAAACAAACAGCCCTTAAATCTCATAAAGAGCTAACAAAAAAAAGTTAAAAGATTTATATATATATAAATCATTAAATAAAAATCCATTGAAGATTCATATATCAACCTAGAGATGGCCATTTGTAACCGGCCCGGCCCATAACCGACGGAGGCCCGGAACCGAGCCCGACTCATAACCGTAACCGACCGGGACCGGCCATAACCGGTTAAGGACCGGCGGTTACGAACCGGTTAGGATAATTCATATTTTTTGGACCGGAACCGGTTATGGGCCCAGCCCGGCCCGGCCCGGCCCGGTCAACGAAAAAGTCAACGTTACCATTAGAAAGTCAAACTAGCCGTTAGAAAAGTCAAACTAGCCGTTAGTTACCGTTAGTTACTGTTATGACCGTTTTTTTCATCTTTTTAGCTACCAAAACATGTATAAATAGAGATGTAAGTTCCTTAGTTAGTTACTAACACTTCTCATCTTCAAAAACGCAAAAAACGCTCTCAATTCTCGGTTTTTCGCTTCATTTGTTGAATTCGTTACGTATTAATTT